GTTCCCCATGGAGACACTGAGCTACTGAGCTAACATAATATGAGGATCAAAACACCTTTGTGAGAAGTCTAGAAACCACCTGGGAAACTACAACTCAGGCAAACGCAAAACCAGGAGGAGGCTGCACCAAAAGATGCACAAAAATCTGGGGCATTTTGCTCATCCTAGCCCTTCCCGCTTCCTGGCATAGCACGGTACAGTTGAGAGGAAACCAATTCCTGGCACCTCCCTTGGGACAGAAAGAAAAAAGATAAATTTGTTTCCAGTATTCTGGCCTGTCTGGGAGCTGTTTGAGGGACTAAGTTTTGTCTCACCTAACCTGGAGCAACATAGTGAGACTAGTGACATGATTTGGATGCCAGTTGGAGACCACTGAAAACAGAAGTGAGCAAAGAGGTGCATTAGTGCAGCAGGGAGTCTACCGTTCTGTAAGCAGGTGCAGGGAATCCAAGAGGATAGACAGGAATACAATAGAAATTGAAATAAAAAGCTCCTGGGGAGCAACAGAGACAAGCTTCTTATGGAAATCAAGACAGTTAAAAGCAGATGTGTATCCTGGAATAAAAGCATACACACATGCCCAGAGAAGACACATCCCCAGAAACAGTAGCTATTTTTCCAATGTCCAAATCTCAACAAAGTTCACAAGGCATATAAAGAAACACGAGAACATGGCCTAATGTAAGAAATAAAATAAATCTCCAGAAACCAACCCTAAAGAAATACAAATCTCTCAATTACCTCGCAAAGAATTTTAAACAGTCATCTTAAAGATGTTCAGTGAACTAAAAGAGAACAAGACTGACAAATCAGAGAAAGGATGCACAAACACTGTTGCCAAAGAGACAGAATAAAAATGAACCAAATTCTGGACCTAAAGGATACAACAACTGAATTGAAAAATAAACTAGAGTTCAAAAGGAAACGATCATACAGACAAAAGAAGCAGTGACCTTGGAGAGTTACTGATATTATCAGTAACTTTGGAGTTCTAGTAATAACCTTGGAGGTTATTTGATACTATCAAGTCAGAGGGACAAGAAGTAAAGTGAGGAGAACCTAAGGGACTTATGGGACATCAATAACAAAGTGGGGAGTGGGCAGATCTGGAAAGGAGTGGAGTTTTTGTATGCAAATCAAGTCATTATCAGCTTAAAATAAATTGTTATTAACTTTAATCTTTTAAAACACAGTCCTCAGGGTAACCACAAAGAAAATCTCTCTAGAATTTACCCAAAAAGAAATGAGAAGGAAATGAAAAAGCATGTCACTACAAAAAGACAAAAAACAAAACCAACAATGAAACACAAAGGAGGAAGGAGAGGAAATAAGGGACAAAAAACCCTACAAAACTTACAGAAAACAATTAACAAAAAGGCAATAGTAAGTCCTTTCCTATCAGTAATTACATCAAATGTAAACAGATTGAATTCCCCAATCAAAAGACATAGATTGGTTGAATGGATAAAATTAAAAATGAGGACCCAACTATATGCCGTCTATAAGAGACTAACTTTAGATCTAAGGACACATATAGGCTGAAAGTGAAGGATGGAAAAGATATTCCATGCAAACAGTCACCAAAGGAGAGAAGTAGCTATACAAATACCAGACAAAAGGGTCAGTTTACCAGGAAGACTTGACAATTAAGTGCCAAATACTAGAGCTCCTAAATATATGAAGTAAACATTAACAGAATTGAAGAAATAGCAACACAGTAATAGTAGATTCAATACCCATTTCCAACAATGACTAGAACCACGAGAAGATAAACAGGACTGAACAACACTCTAGACCAGTTGGACCTATCAGACACATATGGAACACTCTAATAACTGCAGAATACATATTCTTCTCAAGTGTACATGGGATATTCTCTAGGATTGACCACACGTTAAGCCACAGGTCTTAACAAATATTACAAGATTGAAATCATACAAAGTATCTTTTCCAGTCATAATGGAATAAAACTAGAAATCAATAGTTGAAAAAAAAACTGGGAAGCCCAAACATATGTAGAAATTAAACAGCACATTCTTAAACAACCAATGCATCAAAGAAGAAATCACAAATGGAGTTGGAAAGTATCTCGAGACAAAGTAAAACATAACAACCAAAACTTAGATACAGTGCTAAGATGGAAGTTTAGAGCTATAAACCCTTACATTAAAAAAGAAAAAAAGATCTCAAATCAACAACTTAATTTCACACTTCAAGGAACTAAACAAAGAACAATCCAAACCCAGAGCTGGCAGAAGGAAGGAAACAAAGGTTAGAGCAGAGGTAAATAAAACAGACAATAGATTTTTTTTCTATTGTTTTCTAAGACTTGCTTGAAAATATCGACAAAATTAACAAAACTTTAGATTAAGAGAAAAAAAGGCTCAAATATATAAAATCAGAAATGAAAAAGGGGACATTATCAGCCAACATAACAAATATAAAGAAGAGCAGATACCATGTACAGTTATACACCAACAAATTGGGTAACTTAGAAACACAAACCTACGAAGACTGAATCACAAAGAAATAGAAAATCTGAACAGACCTATAACTAGTAAGGAGATTGAATCAGTAATTAAAAACTCAATGAAGACCAGGACCAAATGGTTTCACTGCAGAATTCTACCAAACATTAATTTAAAGAATTAATACCAAACTCATCCAAAAAATTGAAGACAAGGGAACACTTCCAAACTCATTCTGTGAGGTCAACATTACCCTGATACCAAAGCTAGAAAAAGATACTACAAGAAAACTACAGATCAATATCCCAGATGAACACAGTTGCAAAAATCCTTAACAAATACTAGTAAAGGGAAGTCAACAGCACATCAAAACAATGAAGTCAGATTTATTCCAGGAACTGACAGGATGAGTCAACATACAAAAACTGACCAAAGCAATACACCATATTAACAGAATGAAGGGGGAGAAAAAACATGATGCAAAAAAGCATTTGGCATAATTCAACACCCTTTCATGATAAAAACAAACAAACAAACAAACCACCACTCAACAAACTAGAAGTGGAAGGAAACTACCTAAATGTAATAAAGGTCATATATGAAAACCCCATAGCTAACATCGGACTCTGTAAAAGACTGAAAGCTTTTCCTCTAAGATCAGGAACATGCCTGTTCTCACCACTCAGTACCGGAAGTCCTAGCCAGAGCAATTAGGCAAGAAAAAGAAAAGACATTTAAATTAGGAAGGAAATATAAAATTATCTCTGTTTGCAGATGACCTGATCTTATATGTAGAAAACCCTAAAAGATTACAAACAAACAAAAACCCTGTAGAAACTAATAAATCCAGCAAAGTTGCAAGAAACAAAATCAACACACAAAAATCAGTTGCATTTTTATAGACTAACAATGAACAATCTAAGAAGGAAGCTAAGGCAACAGTTCCATTTATAATAGCGTCAAAAAGAATAAAATACTTAGAAATAAATTTACCAAAGAAGTTGAAAGACTTGATACTGAAAACTACAAAGCATCACTGTAAAAAATTAAAGACACAAATAAATGTAAAGACATCCTGTGTTCATGGGTTGGAAGACCTAATATTGTTAAGATGTCAATACTACCTAAAGCAATCTAAAAATTCAATGCAATCTCTTAAAAAAAATGCTTTGGGGCAGAAATAGAAAAATCCATCCTAAAATTCACATGGAATCTCAAAAGACCCCAAGTAGCCAAAACAATCTTGAAAAAGAACAAAGTTAGAGATCTCACATATCCTGATTTCAAAACATTTTCCAAAGCTACAGTAATCAAAACAGTGTGGTACTTGCATAAACACAGACATAACAGACCAATAAAATCAAACAGAGCACCCAGAAATAAACCCTCATATATATGGTCAAATGATCTTCAACAAGGGGGCCAGGGCCATTCAAAGAGGAAGGACTGTCTTTTCAACAAATTGTGCTGGGGAAATGAGACATCCACATGCAAAAGAATGAAGTTAGACCCTTACCTTAGAACCATATACAAAAATTAACTGAAATGGGTTAAAGACCTAAATGCAAGAACTTAAACTATAGAAGTCCTGGAAAAAAAAACGGGGAAAGCTTTAGGACATTGGATTTGGCAGTGATTTATTGGATATAACACCAAAAGCAAAGGGAAAAGAAAGAACAGACAAACAGAACTACACATCAAACTTGAAAATTTCTCTGCATCAAAGGGCAAAATCAACAGAGAAACAAGGCAACAATCTACAGAATGGGAGAAAATATTTGTAAATCATGTATCTGATAAAGGCTTAATATCCAGAATATATAACTAACCCCTATAACTCAACAACCACCACCAAAAAAATACCCCAAATAGCCTGATTGAAACATAGGCAAAAAACTTCTCCAAAGTGACATATTAATGGCCAACAATCATATGAAAAGATATACATCACTAATTATTAGAGAAATGCAAATCGAAACCACAATGAGATATCACATCACAATCATTAAGATGGCTACTATCAAAAAGCAACACAGAAAATAATAAGTGCTGGCAAAGATGTAAAGAAATGGGAACCCTTGTGCACTGATAGGGATGTGAAATAGCACAGCCTCTGTGGAAAACAGTATAGATAGCCCTCAAAAAATTAAAAATAGTAGTACTATATGACTCAGTAATTCGTATCTGGGTATATACCCAAAGGAATCAAAAACAGGATCTCAAAGAGCTATTTATACACCCATGTTTATAGTAGCATTATTCACAATGACTATAAGTTAAAAGCAACCCAAATGTCCTCTGGATGAATGGATAAACAAAACACAGTATAAACATACAAGGAAATATTATTCAGCCTTGAAAAGGAATGAAATTCCATCACTTGCTACAACATGGATGAAATTTGAAGACATTATGCTAAGTGAAATAAGCTAGTCACAAAAAGACAAATACTGTATGATTCCACTTAAATGACGTATCTAAACTAGTCAAGTCAAATTCATAGAAACAGAAGGTAGAATGGTCATTGCTAGGGGCTAGGGAGGGAGGAAACAGGGAGTTGTTTAACAGAGATGGGTTCCAGTTTTGCAAGATCAAAAAGTTCTAGAGAACTGTTGCAAAACAATGTGAATATACTTAACACTGCTGAACTATACATTTAAAAATAGTTAAGATGGTAAATTTTATGTTATGTGTTTTTTACCACAATTTTGTTTAAAGGCAAGCAGATGGTTCCAAATGGTCTAGTTTGCACATGAGTCTAAGGAGGAGGAGTTTAATATGGAGAACAGGTATAATGGTATTCATTCCATCATGAATTATTGTATTAGTTATAAGTACCAAGGGGGCTGTTTTAGAGGGGAAAGAGTTTGATCTTTCTCACTGAAAGTGGAATATATAGCCTGCTATAGATAAACTAAAAACTTAGATCTTTAAGTGTTTTTGAGAGATTAGCCCTTCAGACTTTTAAAAAAATGGTTTCATCTATTGGAGTGAATCTATTGGCATATACTTCTGGATGACAGACCATAATAAGGTGAGTGTCCCTAGAGGATTTTGCAACACCTCAATCAGGGATAAATCTTGAACTAGAAGAGCCCTTAGAAAGTCTATTTGTTCCTGAAATTTAGGGTTTTTTCTAATAGCCTTTAAGAGCCCGTCTAGTCTGGGATGGCTGTCTTCATCCCATTAGTCTTGTTATTTTGTTTGGGCGAGGGATGAGCTGTACCAGCTTTTCTGATATTAACGGCTCATCTCTCACCCTACAGAGCAGGGTAGGAAACCTACTTCTATTTCCAAATCTTCTTTGGCTAATATGGGACAACAACGGTGATCTCAATTTCTTTGTTTTTTTCTCATTCATTCAAAAGCCAAACTTACCCTACACAGAATGTCAAACTAATAAACTAATTACCATCATAATGTTATAATTTATTCAGCCTCTACTAAGCAGAGTCACTGTACTGCGCAATTTGCCCATTTAATGTTTTTTTCTCTAAACTACATTATAATAAAATAGGTATTACTCCCATTTTATAGTTGAAGCTGAAAATACTAAGTTATTTGCCAAAGGCCCAAGCAAAGGAAAGCTAGGATTTGAACTGAGATCTGCCATACGCTTAAGCCTACATTCTTCCTAGTACAGTACATCACCTCCCTAGTCACAGAGGGTTACCATTAGGACTGTCTGGTCTACTCATTTTATTTCAAATGAACAGAAAAAGGTAAAATACTCCCCTTTTCATCTATTTTACTTATTTAATAAAGAGTAAATGGCCTAAAGCAGTCTTCTTTAAATTTTTTTGCTTATTCCTCTTAATATAAGAACCAGAAAAATACTGGTTCCTAACCAAAAAATGAATAGTAGATGCTGTAAAAATTAATGCAGATGTTGATGTAGTAATGTATTCCTAATGGTATTGACCACCATTCTTTTTATAAACAAAATCTAAGTCTTCATTGCACAGTTCAGTTACTGAGCTGACAAGCTCTTAAATTCTACAATTGTTAAATCAGGACTTAAAGACTAGAACTAAATTATTTAACAGAGAATAGAAGAAAAAAGTCATTTACTTAGAAAAGCCATGCATATATTTTCATCTTACATTTCTCATAGCAGAACATTTTTCCATAATACCTAACAAGAAGAAATGCTCATTTCTTTTAAAATAGTTAAACTACTCACTAAAATCAGTACCTGAAAAAACTTTCAATATTTGTTAACACTGAATAAAATGTTCGTGTTTGTTACCACTTCTCAGGAATGAAGGAGACCTGACTTCCTGTTTCTGCCGTTAATCTGCATCGTGTTAGAAAGAGGGAACAGGCAGGGGTTCCAGGAAGGTGTGATGCCTCTGAATTCGGTGTAGAAGCTGCTGTGCCACCGGTTTGAATTCTGTTTCCCAGTGGAGTCTGTGATAGTTTTTTAGGTCTTGGTCAAAACTCTCATCCAGTGCTAGTTCTTCATCTGTATCAGAAAAATTAAAATTACAGCAATCATTTGGAAATGTAAGCCTATTGAATTGTTTAATTTGTGATGGCAGGCGGTAAACTCGTCCTGGGTCATCTTTAATTCCAACAAGGTTTTTTTACTCTCTTCTGTTCTTTACAAATATTTTTAAGTAAGTATATTTCAGTCTCAATTTAAAAAAAGATAATAATCTTCTCCAAAAAAACGGTCCTAGATTTAATTGAGCTCCTATTTCAGTTTATCCGTAGTGTTTATGTATGTCTACATCCAAAAGTCAGGTAATTTCTCAGAATAAACAAAGTATTAATAGATTACTTCCTTAGAAAGTTTTCCTTAGAAAAAGTTACTTTAGTGGTTGACAGATATAAAAGGAGTTAGGAAATCTTTTGGGAAAGGAGCACAGTTGAATTTTTTCTTTTATTGGCGTATAGTCAGTTTACAATGCTGTGTCAATTTCTGCATAATGTTTCAGTCATACATATACATACACAGATTTGTTTTCATATTCTTTTTCATTATAGGTTACTACAAGATATTGAATATAGTTCCCTGTGCTGTACAGAAACGTGTTTATTTTATATTTATCTATTTTATATATAGTAGTTAGTATCTGCAATTTTTAAAATTTATTTTTGATGGGGGGGTAATTAGGTTTATTTATTTCTTATTTTGTTTTTTAATGGAAGCACTGGGGATTGAACCCAGGACCTCATGCATGCTAACTAAGCACGTGCTCTACCTCTGAGCTATACCCTCCCCCACCACAGCTGAATTTGACACTGTAAACTTGACTGAAAATCAATTTTGCTCATTTCAAAGCAGCCTGGACATACTTTGAAAACACCCCACACACACACACACCCCTCTATGCTCCCACCAATAAAGGTGACAAATGGGAGACTTTGAGAATAAATCCATGAATAATGCAGAAAAGCACTTGTAAAAACAAAATTACAACCTTAATTTGCTTCTTAATCCAAGGGCACTCTGAATTCTCTGAATACCATAAGTATATCCAACCCAAGAAGGAAGACAAGTGGCCACTGAGGTTTCTGCGCTGACCTGCCACTGCATTTTCCTTTGTTTATACTGGACCCCATTGAAGGACTTCAGGAAAATACACTGGCCTGCCAGCCAGAGGCTGGCTCTGCCACTTCCTAGGTCTGTGCCTGAGGCAGACGTCTTAAGAGGGAGCTACCAAGTCTGAAAATGACCACAAATATCACTGCTTACATAATTTGCAAACTTTTTTTCATAGGGCCAGTTAAAATCCTATTATAAAATGTTTCATTCATGTTTACATCCAATTTTCTACCCCGAATACTTTCATACTCTTTGTGTACTTTGGCACTATTGGTGTCAGTGTCACCACCCAGAATAAGATAAGTCTGGAATCCCAGTTTGTACCTTCCCTCCTCTCCTCCAGCCAAGTGGCCCGCTATGCAGCTCTGAGATAAGTTCTGGGCAGACACTAGCACTTCAGCAAGGCTCTCCATGGAGACCCCTGTAAGCAAGCCTGGCTCTCCCCACCCATTTGATAACCAGGGCCTGGAGAGGAGGAGAATGCAGATGGTATTTGATGCAAAGTCCTTCCTGTTGGGCTACTTTCTGAGTGCTTTCAGGTTTCTAGGTTCTCTTCCTGCTCACTCCTCTCCAGATTTTATGAGCACTAAACTTCTGTTAAAAATGAATTCTCTTGTTTTACGTCCTTCTTTCGCAAGCACCTTAGGGCTAAGCACCGCCCAGGCATTCCACAGACCCTTCCTCCACCCAGGGCTTTGGTTGGATTTGATGGCTTTAGCAAACCTCTATTTTTGCTGTTTTTGATTTTTTTTTAATCTAATGTTAAGACTATGCTACTTTTTTTGAAGCTCAGCCTCTAATTAGTTAATCTACACTCAGACCCTATTCATTGTAAACTGGGCTGGACAAGATAACAAAAGGGGCCATGTAGTTACAGATAAAAGCAGTCTCAAATTTTAAATACAGCACATGCATAAAACGTGCCATTGTACAACACTAGCTGTTAAATTTTGAAACTTGTACTACAATGAATGGCAGTGCAAATTTTAGACCTATGATTTTCAAACTTTTTTGACTGTGACCTGAGAAGTATGTATTACATTATGACTGTATCCATACACTCATGTATTTAAATACAAGTAAAAAAATGCCTCACAATCCTTATCTTTACTACATATAATATATTCTGTTATTTTCTTAGTACTTCATTTGTTAAAGATGCTGGTCACAGTGTGAAAAGCACTGATTAGGTAACAATCATCATTAAGCTTTCTTCGTGCACAATACACTTTCAAACATTGGAATTTTAGGTGAGGTATTAGAAAGGATTAAAGGACTCAAAACAATACATTTGTCAGTGCTCATTATAACACAGTCTTATCATAGTTTAAGGACCCTGCTGCATCGATTAAAGCTTCCCCTACTCACTGCACTGTTTCCTAGCCTGCTGTTCAGCACCAGGTGGCTATGGAGGGTTTGATTATTGCTGTGACTATGACAAGGCATGGTCCCCCTGCGTTCCAGAAGCACCTGACGGCCCTTTGGCACGGCCTTGATGATGGAATCCTCTAACGAACACTGGGCCCCTCTCTCCCCCTTGTCACATAACCTAGGTGCTAAGTTCCACATAGCTTACATGAACATAAAAAGCCCCAATGCATTTTACACTGACAACAGCGAACTGCACACACTGGTCACCAGTTGCCAGCTCCCCTGAGAGACGCTCACGGTAGACGCGTGAGTCAGAGCGCACCACTAAGTAACGTCAAGACAGATTGCTAATGAGTTTATAAGAGGTGGTTGCAGCACTTCGGGGAGTTTAGACAACATTCTTTCTAAGCCACTTTCCAAAGAGACTATCAACATTCCAACATCCCAACCATGTTGAGAACCGTTTCTTTTCTGTTTTAGTTTCCTGTCAAGAAAAAGTTGGGTAACTTACTATATCAATTGTCCTGCCATTATTTCTAAAAACAGTGCTCCCGCTTCAATGTGGGGCTTTTGTGACTTAACAGCTCATCTTGTTTTCAAAAAGGCCTGTTTTTCAGCGATCTTTGTAAAAGAATTGAAATGTGACTACACTCTCACTCACGTATTCATTTCACCTGCTGCTGCCTGCTGGCTAGACACAGCTACAACCTGGCATAAGTAAGGGTCTGGGGACAACACTGTGGAGAGAAGAGCCAGGAGTCCTCATGGTTCCCAAGAAGGGGCTCATGACCATGTGAGGACTCTATGACTCACCAAGCTGGTGACGTGGTTCCCCAGTGGGCTGTTTACTTTGTTTCCCACGCCACATTCCCCTTCTACAGTGGGGAGGGGTAAGGGTGCCCTATGTAGTGGAACAGCAGAAAAACACAGGGCTAGATGTTTATTTTCTGATGAAAAGTTCTTGCTTTGCTACAATATGATCTTAGACAAGCCACTTAACCCTCCTAGACCTACCTTCCTCATCTGTCACCTAGCTGACGACCTTAGAGAGATCTTATGAGGACAGAATAAATGTTCATTGAAGCAAAGGTACCACTATTGTCAGTTAATCCACAAGCATCTATCAAGAACCTAGTCTGCACGAGGCAATAGCCTTACCCTAGAGCAGCTCAGTTGGAGTGGGGAAATAAGATAAAAGTTATGAAAAAATAATACAGGACAAGTTCCACAGTTTGTGACTGATTGCTGTATAAAGAGTACAGATTTCCTATGACTAGACTATGGGTTTGCAAAGCTCAGCAGAAGGGCCTGCGAGGGCCGGCAGCACTGGGCTAGGCAGGTAAGGGATACGCCCGAGCAGAGGTGCAAGGTTAGGGAAGAAGCAGTCCAACCTGGCTCGAGGGGAAGCTGAGGGAGGGGAGCGGTGGGAACAGATCCACCACTGCCAAGTACCCGCCAGGTGCACCATCCCCTGCTGGAAGCCAGCCATGCCCACCCCACTTCTAAGCCCTCCCTTGTGCCACACGGCCACACCATCTTGTCCTATGTGGTTGACTGCCCCGGACTTAGGTCCCAAAGGAAGCCACAGCCAGCCTGTGCTGGAGGCAGCTGCTGCCTAAGACACAAAAGCCCTCCACCCCTAGGAGAGCAACTCACAGAACCAAACACACATCTTCTCCTCAAATCGGAGACAGACAGAAAGTTGTGCCAACAACAGAGGAGACGCAGAATCCCATACACTGAGTGCAGCAAGAAGCCTTGAGCCAGCTGAAGCCACGACCATGCAGGAGCCTAGAGGAAAGGAGGGGGAGAAAGGATCTTTTCCCCAACAGCCGAAATGGAGCAGGGCTGGGTCTCCAGCAGGATGGAGCAGATGATACCTGCTCCTGAGGGGGCCGTTCGGGGATGCTAGCTCTATCTGGACCCACCTTCCGGGTCCTGAGTGCCTGTCCAACAGGCTCTGGACATCCTTCCCTTAAACCCCTTCATCATCCAGAGCACAGGTTCTCAGTGCTGGCTCAAGGGCAGACTCACCTGTGGAACTTTTTTTAATGATGCAGATAATGGGCCTTACCCCAGAGTGCCTGAATCAGAATTGCTGGGCCCAGGGCCAGGACGCATGTGTGTGGTTTTTTTTAAATTCCACAGCTGATTCCAATGTTCTGCCACCATTAAGAATTGAATTAAGGCAAATTGAGCACGCTTTTGCTCCAGGCAACCTGAGAAAACTCACCGTCCACAGAGCAGACTGTGAAGCTCAGTGATTTAAAATCACACTCATTCCCCCGGCTCTTACACAAAATTGTATTTACCTGGGAAAAAGCAAACTTCACATCAACTTAGTACACATGACTCTTTTAAATAGCTTCTAGTTCTGAGTTCAGGTTTAGTAACATGATACTACAATGCTTAGAGTTTACCAAGCACTTTCACAACCCTCTTTTGAGGACGTGCTGGGTGTCAGGTGTTGAGTCTGTTCATTTATCATGCAAACAGCTCTGCAAAGTGGACACCAGTCATCCCTGTCTTAGAGATGAGAAAATGTAAGTTCAGAGGTTAAGCGCAAGGTTAAAACCTTGTCCGTGACCAAGCAAGACAAACTCAGAACTGCCTGGCTATACAGCCTTCCAGCCTTCCCGGTGTGCTCTCAGGATGCTTGTTCCATCCTCCTGACCCCCTGCAGCTGGGCAGGGATCTCACGTCCCCATTTTACAGACGAAAGGACAGGTTCTGAGAGATTCTCTTGCCAAATCACACCACCCAAGAGAGTGAGTATTTGAACCCCCAGCCTCCGAGTCACACTGAGCCTTTCCACACAGCCCTGCAGATCCCACACAGTGCTGGGCAATGGGAGGGATGTTTCCTTCATTTTGGAATACGGATTAAACCCTCACCTCATTTACTGACCCAAATCAGTGTTAGACCCAGCCCAGGATGAAACAAATCATCCTAAAAAGAGAAACTTTTAAAATGTAAGACACTATCATCTTTCTTTTGCTTTGTGTCAACAGATTTCCTACCTTTCAACGCAGAGCCCCGCTGTAATGCCAGTATCACAGACCTTCCCCTACATAATTTAGCTGCTAAATAAAGTGTGTAAGTTCATTAAAAGCATGACTTAATTTAGAGTAGATTTCAGTCGTGTTTTCTCGATTACAACAATGTCTGAATACTTTTTAAACAACTGCAATCCATTTACGCTGAGATTTTCCATTTACGTAGTCTACAGAAAAATGCAAAAAAAAGGGGAGGGGAGCCATGACAATAAGTTAAAAGTCCTTGTGTCCCCACTGTAAATAACATTCAGCCTCTTCCAGATATCTCCAAACTATAACCATCTTTAACATGCTCTTGTTACTTTCATAAACATAGCCACCCAAACGCCTACCAATCTTTACTCAGAGAGAAAAACACAAACAAACAAAAAAAGTATTCTGATAAAACTCACAGAGTCAAAGGAATCTTACCTAAAAATGACGACAGCAGGGCTAAGAGTGTATCAGTGGTCTCAACTCCAAAACATGACGAAGCACTGGTGATATTTTCACTGAAGTTCCACAAAGTTTTGCACACCAAGCAGGCCAGCTGCCAATCAGTAGGACCAAAATCCCTTAAACAATCCACTAACCTGAGTTAATAAAAGTCAAACTGAGAAGTTATTAGGGCAGAATCTTTCACTTTTGTATTTTTAACGTGATGATTAACTATCTGTGATATTTAACGTGCATTAAATACAGTTAAGTGTTATTAAAAACAATTTCGTGTCTACAAGTTTAAGTAGCTACAAAGTAGCAATAACCTACTTCTGAATTATTTTAAGCATCCAGTGGAACCTAAATGCCCTCTTTAGCCCTAGCTTGGCGCTTCTAGAAGTTGAAACACCTCTGTCCCGGAGGAATGAAGAGGGGGCCCAAGCTCCACTAGAAAACTAGGTCCTCTGAATCCTGACAGAGTCAGGACTCCATGCCTTGCAACTTACTTTTTAATGCCACCTTCTTCTTTCAGGATGACACGCTTGTCTTTATCCACAGTGAGGTTTAGGAGAACGCCACAGGCAGAAAAGCAAATATCCTGATGCTTCGCATCCAGCAGTGCAATCATGAATTTGTGGACTGGGAAGGCAGAGAACAAACGCAGACCAGTAAAGCTCAGGGGCTCAGCTGTATCTTATTTCACAAATGGCAAAGGGGAAACTAAGCTGGGAGCAGCTTGCAAAGCTGGAAACCCTGCAAGGGGACTCAGCTCACTCCTTCCAAGACTTTACCCACAGCCCAGCAGTGCCTTCACTGACATCCACCTCCACAACCTGCTCCCGACTCAGGTCCATTGGCCCCAGACACTGCTGTATCTGACGCAGGTGTCAGCTCCCTCTCCCAGGCAGCAAGAAAGCCCCCACCTGTGGAAAGGAGGGAACCACAGGCTTCCAATTACACAGGTGATGTGCATCTTTTGAAGCTCCAGCAGCCATTTTCTATAAGTACCCAGCCCTGGGGGAGGGGAGCTGGCTTGAGTTGAGATCTTTCCTGAAGTTTCACTTCCAGGGCTGCAGCTTGGAAGAGAAGACTTGCTCAGACTGCTGCAAACTAGCTCATGGTGAGGCAGGACTCCCAGGAGTTCCAGGGAGACAGCTCACATCAGGATAGGCTCCCAGCTCTGTTTTTCCTTACCCCTTGAAATGCAACTGCCGGCCCTGGTATCTCATCCTCCCAGCACGGACTGGGCAGAGGCTTAGGGGAGAATGGATAAGGTGTGTGCTTCTGTTCGACTGCACACCTGGGAGGTGGCCACCCCGTGCTGACTTTGACTCCCTGATGGGTCAGACAGTGAGCTTCGCAAAGGCTACATCACAAATAAACATTTTCTTGTTTTGTTTTGTTTTTTTTGTTTTTATTTTTACAACTAAGTGTGTTTTTAAGAGTCTAAAGAACATCCACTAAAAATGTTAACAGTTATCTCTGGGGTAGTGAGATGATGGGTGATTGTTGCTGCTTTTTAAAAAAAATTTGTATTATCTAAATTTTCTATGACCAACATGGATAATGAGGTATTTTTAGTTATTGTTTTTACATGAAATATTTGAGACACACAAAGAGTAATCTTTAGTATACACTCTTGTGTACCTGCTACCCAGTTTAAGAAATAGAACATTACAGATCCAGTTTTATTTTGGGGCATCCATTCAAATGGCACTTTGTCTTAAATGTGGAGTTTATCATTTCCAAATACATTTGTACCTTATTCCATTACCACATGAGTACATTACATAAACAATATCCAAGATTGTTTTCCTGGTTTTAAAACTCCATTAATGGCATTATTCCATATATGTTCTCCTATTACTAGCTTTTCTTTTCCAATAGTGTATGTCTGAGGTTGATTTTGATGCACATTGATACATGAACTTCTAGTTCATTTATTTCAATTGCTATAGAAGTTTGGTTGCATGAATATACCATAATGTATTTATCCTCTTGCCTGTTGATGGACGTTTAGGTTGTTTCCATTTCTCACTATAACAAGCAGTGTTGTAATAGATATTCAAGTATGTGAAAGACAATGTCTCCTGAGTCCATTCTCACAAACAGAAATGATGAGTACATATTACTCAATTCCCTGAAACACACACACACACACACACACACACACACCCCATCTCAGAACTCAGAAGACACTCATGAGGGAGAAGGGAGCACTGAGAACCCAGCCTGGATCCATCCTGGCATCCTGAGCTGAGAGCCTTAGGATGGACGGAACAGAATGTAAAGCACCACTTGTCCCAAAGCAGAAACAAGTATCACGTTGTCATGACCCAAGCTGTGAACCCGTTCAGCTGTTTATTGGCAAGATGTGCCTGTTTATGAATGTGAGGGTCATGAACTCACCATTTTTCTGCACAATGAAATCGCAGATGTCATGGTCCTGGGAGAGATTTCCAAAAACGCGCATAGCCTCCAGGATTCCATCCATGTTGTTACTCACAAGAAGCTTTATAAGCACTGGATTTGGTGACCAGTGAAACAAAATTAGTGAATTTGAATTTTAATTTAAAGGCTATTAGAGGGGGGAGGGTATAGCTCAAGTGGTAGAGTGCATGCTTAGCATGCACAAAGTCCTGGGTTCAATCCCCAGTACCGCCTTCAAATATAAATAAATAAATAAATAAACCTAATTACCTCCCCCTCATAAAACAAACAAATAAATAGAGGCTATTAGGGACCAAAGATCATGCTAAATACTGATAACTTAAAAATCAAAGATGATGATAAAATTCAAACTATAAGGGATTTTAGCAAGAATGAAAAAAATAACTTGTCTCCATATTCTAATTTCTTGGAATTAAATCAGGCTCTCAGATATTAGAAATCAGAAAATAGAAATGCTTCCAGTTCTGTGTTTAGCTGATACAATCAAAAACCTTAAATGAATATGCATGTACCCAAACCCAACCCTGAACCTTACATTCAGCAATATATAGCTTTTTGTCTTGAATTACGGAATTCTTCACTTGGTAGTAAGATAAGTTGTTGATTGTTGCTGTAGTATTGATCACCAGCTCCTCACAATCATCAATTGACTTGTATTCTGAAACAGAGTGAGGATAAGGGTGTCAGAGACTCACCGCAGGGCAGAACCAAGCATCCTCACTGCGGCAACAGCAGTGGCAGGGACCGGTCTGTACAGGGCATTGTTGGCTGCTTCACTTCCCAGGACTCCTCCTGCAGGAAAATGCACCACAGGCAGGGGACCAGTCCTGGCCAGGGTTTAGAACAGTCTAAGCTCAAGCCCTCCAGCCGCAGGGTCTGGAAAAGTCGGGTGATCTAGGCCCTGTGTACCAGGAGCCAACACTGAGAGCAGAGCTAGCTCTAAGCCCTTCGGGTTTGCCCTGACCCGGAGCTCCCCTCGGGCCTCCACCTCCCAACACAACGGCCCTTAGGTCACAATCCATCTATGACTCCTGTGAACACTGCCTCTGACCGCTTCTCACCTCCTCTACCACCTTGTCCACCTCTCACCTCCTCACTGGCTTCTCCTCGTCCACCGTGGCCTCCCTGAGGCTGTCCTCAGCGTGGTGATCCTTTAAAAGTCAGTCAGTGCCACCCACCTCACTTGGCCCACAGGCCTGATCTGGCTGCCCTAGTCCTTACCTCTCTGGCCTCATCTGCTGCTCCAGCCCCCAGGCCCCCGACACCCACCACACTGGCCTTCTTCCTCTTTCTGAGCAAGTCAGCCCTATCCTGCCTGAGAACCTTTGTGCTGCTAGGCCCCCAGCTGGAATATCCCTTCCTCCAGCCCCCTGGCTCACTCCTCACGTCCTTCAGGCTGCTGCTTAGCTTCACCTTGTTGGAATACTTCCCTTGGCCGCCCTGCATAAAGCAGCACCCACCACTCTTCACCTCCCCTCCCTGCTGTCATCTTCCCTGGAGCACGTGCGACCCCTGACTTGGTATGTACTTAATGTCGGTCTTCCAGCTCTAGGGTGTAAGCGCCACGAGAACTAGGGACTTCTCTGTTTTATTCATCACTGCATTCCTGGCACCTAGAACAGTGTCTGGCTTGTAGCGGTGCTCAATGAATAGTTTCTGAAGGCAATAACGAGTGAGTGAATGAACTCTTTAGCCGAGTGCACAAGACTCTTGGTCATTTTGTCCCTGCCTTCCAGTCTCCAGACTCATCTCCTGGTGACTCAGGGCACAGTGCAGAGAAGGGCAGATGCAGGGATGCCAGGGAGGAGCCTCCTGTGGTATCTCAGGTGACAGAAGAGCTGGGGTAATGGAGATGCAGCAGAGAGGCCATGCTGGAAAACTATTTAGGGAGGAAACTGGACAGTATGTGCTGAAGACTGGACTGGGGTGAGGCAGAGGAATCACCCAGGATAATCTCTGGGTTTCAGGATTATATCACTGGATGGACAGCATTTCCACTCTCTGAATTCATTGTAAGAGGGTGCAGGTGGGGGAAAGGTCACGAGTTTGGCTTTAGATATCATGAGGGGCTTCTGAAGAGCCCACAGTTGATAAGATTAGGTTGGACACAGGGGTCTGGAAGGCAGAGGAAACGTCAGGAGTCTGGTTATACTAAACTAGCCATAGCAGCCTCTGGCTCTCACCTCTGATCCTGCACACGTCCCCCCAGTGCCTGGAGTACATTCACTCCCCTCTCCGCCTGGCCCTCAGCCTTCGCGTGCCTGGGACGCCCTTGCCCAGCCTGGGAGGACGTCACCTCAGTGCCTGTGCATCTCTTGGGCCCTGACTTGCCCCCTGGGTTTTTTGGTTAAGAAGTGCCTTTTACCTCTTTTACCTTTTTTATAATTGAAGTATGGTTGATACACAATATTACAGCAAATATAGAACATAGTGATTCAATATTTTTATAGACTATACTCCATTTAAAGTTATTATAAAATATTGGCTATATTCCCTGTGCTGTACAATATATCCCGGTTGCTTATCTATTTTATACATAGTAGTTTGTACCTCTTAATGCCCCACCCCTACCCTGCCCCTCTCCCTTCCCTTTCCCCACCGGTAACCTCTAGTTAGTTCTCTATATCTGTGAACCTGTTTCTGTTCTGTTAGATTCATTTGTTTGTTTTATTTTTTAGATCCCACATATAAGTGGAATCATACAGTATTGTCTTTCTCTGTCTGACATACCTAAGCATAATATTCTCTAGGTCCATCTGTGTTGTTGCAAATGGCAAAAGTTCCTTCCTTTCTCTGAGTAAAGAAGTGCCTTTTACCTCTTACATGAAACCAAAGTTCCGCAGGGAAAAGAGGGAGCCTGTGAGCTGAACAGGACTGTGCTGGCTCTTACATTCTCGGATTTAATTCTATCTCCTTTTGGTCTCCTTTTCATTAAAGAGAATGACCTTTTGATAGCTTACTCTATCTAAAGAGAAATTCAGTCATTTGCTACACTGCAGAAAACACATACTTGCCCTTCAGCTAGTGGTCCCTCCATGCACAGCAGCTGTGGGGGCCGGGACCTCGTAGGCACTCAATGAATACTTGGAGAAAGAAAGAATAAATACCCTAATTGCCTGTTTTAGTTTAAACACCTGGGAAGGGAATAAAGAACTGAATTATGGACTTCGGTATGGATTCTACAGCAAGGAAATATCCCAGTTGCTCAGGTTTCCAGGAGATCTGTGAAAGGATCCCAGTTGTTTTTTGAGGGAGACAACATAAAAGAAAGGACACAGGACCCCCCCACCAACATGCTCTCACTAGTGTAGCCATGACTCGAGCTGGAATCCTGATCTTCTACCTGCTGGCTATATGACCTTGTTCAAGTCATTCGACCTGCTCAGGCCTCAGTTTCCTTGTCCTCCAAGGGGGATGATAACTACACCTACATTATGGAGTTGTTACGGAGTTTAAATGCGTTAATACTCGTAAAGGGTTAGAGAATGCGTAGCATACTGTAGGTGCTAAATAAACGTTTGTTAAATGAACAGAAAGGCCATCAAACGCCATGCCTTCCAGAGAAGGGCTCAGGTGAATACCTAACACTTAGCAAGGAGGATGCTCAGCCCAGTTTCCTCTGTCCCGGAACTGACAACAATAGATCTTGGGGTAGTGTCTAAGGATCTGCTTTTTCTCTTGCCTTGATGGGAGAATTCATTAGCTCGCCCGGAAGAGAAGGGTGGCTCTTACATGTCACCGCCCCCGCAAGACCTCATGTTTGGCAGCAGGAGTAGCAGCTGGTGTCTGGGGCTGAGGGGACACACTCATCACTACCACACGTCTCTCATGAACAGCACCGAGCACTTTACACACATCTAACCCCAAACAGTTAATTATTAATCATGTTTTAAATGCACTTACAAGCATTTAAACCCACAATAATTAATACCATCAAGATGCATCAGTCTCAGTCAGCTCAGGCTGACTGAGTGGCTTAAACAACAGGAAATTATTTAACAGTTCTGGAAGCTAAAAGTCCAAGCTCAGGGAGCCAGCACGTTTGGGTTCTGGTGAGGGCTCTTCCTGGTTTGCGGGTGGCTGCCTCCTCTCTATGCTCATCTAAACCTAATTGTTTCTGAAAGGCTCCATCTCCAAATTCCAACACACTGAGAGGGTTTCAACCCATGAACTGCGGGGAATACAGTTCAGTCCGTGAGCCTCCTAATATTCCCTTTCTCATCCCAGATGAGAACACTGAGGCTCAGAGAAGTTAAACACCTTGCCTGACTTCAAGGAGCAGACATCTGAATCCAGGTTGGTCTGACTCTACCATCCTGCTTTCCCTAGCATCTTGCTGAGTGCTGTTAGAGCTGGCTGGGGCAATAATTTGCCTCCAAGGAGCCTGAGAGACCCACACAGACCTTTGTAGCTGACTCATGGGTGTAAGAGAACCTGGAACTTGGAGCTTTCACTAAGGCAGCTAATCTCTGAATCTGGGGGCTTGCTGAGAAGGCTCGTCCTTATTAGAAATATTTTTTATTTTAAAAGACCCCCAGCAACGAAACTGGTCTCTAGAGGGGTGTCCTAGGGTATAAGCAACTCCTCTGTGAGGGGAGCGTGGCTGGGGAGAGGTGGAGGCAGAGGTCCCAAGGGACGCCTCTCCCCAGTGACTAGGGGACAGTGCAGCGCAGTGAAGGCATCAGGTTGGGGGGCAGTGCTCAGTGCCGAGGATTAACAGGGCAGCAGCTGCTGCGCCCTCAGGTTGGTGGGCGCCACCATTCCAGAGGGTGGGCGGGATCCTTTCTACAGTCAGAACCAAGTCTGGCCCTGGCTTGCCTTCCACTACCACTACCAGGCCTGTCAGAAAGAGACCAGCTCTGAAGATCAGCTCCCTCCTCCTGGAATCTGATCGCCATCCCACACTGATGCAGAGACACCAGGAGGGAACCAGCAGAGATCAGCTGAGGGGGACTGCCTAGGGCTCAGAACATTCATCCCTGCAGCTGAGCTGCCAAGGGGAAAGTGGAGGCATTTGAGCCTCCATTGGGATGACTTTTACCCTCCAGAAGCTTTTCGTGGGAGGTCAAATCATTCAGGAGATAGAACAAAGGATCCTCCTGCTTGCCCAAACAACTGCCTGGGCATGGCAGGCTAGAGAGAAGGGTTTCTTCACTTGGGCTTAACCTCAGACAGCGCTGAGCTCCAGTTTCAAGGATCACCTTAGGTCGGAAGAAAGTAGGCTGCTCCCGAGTGCCAGTAACCTCAAGGAGATGCACTGGAGACCTCACATGGGACTCCCCCAGTGACTGAGGCAGAGCACCTACCCTCCCAGAAGACTTGGTGATGGAGGCATGGTTGGGGACAGGCTCTGAGCCTCCTGGGGACTCTAACTGGGCCCTCTTGGCTAACTCCTTTAGCTCTGGCCAAATCTGCTTCTCAGCATCTTTCTCCTGCCTCCAAAGCATCACTTTCTTAGAAGTCAAACACAAATTATTCACTGTACGTTTAGCTCATAGGTAGAAATGTAATTTCTAACTCATAAAATATGTATAAGGCCAGGGATTTCCTCATTTCAGATGTAAATATTAATAATTGCAGGAGAATGAAATGTGTAGAGCTTTATTTCTTAACTTGACTATCTGCGGTGATGTGTCCCCAGGCCAGGTGTCTGTGGTCAGGTCCTCAGGCTCTTTCCAGGCAGCTAGCCAGGTAAGGAAACTGAGCCCACCAACAGATGAGCACTCATTTGAGGGGTTTCAGGCTCCTGCCGGCTCCTCACTAGCCAGAGAGGCTAAAGGCAGTTCCCTCAGCATGGGTCTCAATATTTCAGGGGCAGAAGAATCACCTGGGGGCAGAAGAGGAGTTGAAATCCGTATTTCAAGACCCTAAACCCATCCAGCAGGTAAAGCCTGTTTCTGGGTATGACCCAGAAACTGGAAAGAGTATTGTGACGAGCCCCACAGCTGCTTCTGAGGCAGCTGGAGCCCTGACTTCTGGGTGGAGAAGGATGGGGCCTCCAGATGCCTGAGGATCATCAGGAGACAGGGAGATATTATAGTCCAAGCACCCAAAGATTTCAGGCTGTTAGAGAAGCTGCATTTCTGGAGAAACTACATGCAGATTCACACAGATGGTTTAATGTGCAGTCAGCAGCTTGGCAGAGAGTTCAAGGCTAAATGTGTAGGTTTTCGAGTTATCAAGTGGAAGCGATAAGCCATGGGGACAGACCTCAGTCAGAATTTAAGAATCCTTTCTTAAGACCGGCAACATGTATAGCGACCCTGCCACTTACTAACTTTGTGACCTCTGAAAGTCACTTCATCTTGCTGAGCCTGTTTCCTCCTTGGTAAAATGGTTAAAATGACAACCACCTACTCACACCTCTGCTGTGGGGTAACGAATGTGAGAGTGCTTTTTAAATTGCATGGCTCCAGTGGTGATCATTTTGGAACATAAAGAAATATCCAATCACTATGCTGTGCACCTGGAACTAACATAGTGTTGTAGGTCAATTATACCACAATAAAAATAAAATAAAATGGAAATAATCTACACAGCTCCATGACAAGGTAAGGCAGTGTCACTTACACTCTCATGCACCAAGAGCTGGGCTCCGTGGCTCTGTCCCCTCAGCCTCCATGTTCTGTGGACACCTTGTTGCTGGCACTTTTCAAACACTCCTTGTCTATACACCTGATATTCTTCCACCACATACCCTGAGTTCCTTAAAAGCAGATACCAACCTACACTTTTTAAAAGCCTGCAATGTACTGAGTGTTTGTGTGCCCCTCCAAGTTCATGTGTTGAAGCTCTAATCCCCCAACATGACTATATTTGGAGGCAGGGCCTGTGAGGTGATAAATGTTATATAAGGTCATAAGGGTGGGGCCCTCACCTGATGGGCTGGTGCCCTTATAAGACCTTGAGGATACACCAGAGTTCTCACTGCACCATGTGAGGACACAGCAAGAAGATGGCTATCTGCAAGCCAGAAAGAAGGTCCTCATCAGACACCAATCCTGCTGGCACCTTGACCTTGGACTTCCAGCCTATAGAATTGTGAGAAATAGATTTCTGCTTTTTAAGCCTCCTCATCTTTTGTTATGGTATTTTGTTATGGCAGCCTGAGCAGACTAAGACAAACATCTTTTAACACACAGCATGGGACTGATTATGCAGTGAGGACTCAAGAAATGAAGAGCAAAAGGGCAAAGCTCAAGGATTAACCCTAAACCTTCTTTTCTTCAGGCATTAAGGTTTCCTCTACAACATAAAAGTCTTTCCAAGTCAGGTAAGTAGTGGTTAAGCAGATCACTCTAGATGGCAGTTAATTTCCTTGCACACTGGTAGGCAGAGGTGCCCACAGGAAATGACAAGGTCTAAGAAGTGGAAGGGTGTCACTATGGACCGAGTTGTGTCTCTCCCAACCCCAACTTCATATATTGAAGCCCTCAACCCGTGAAGGGCCTGTATTTGGAGACAGGGCTTTGGGGAGATAATTAGAGTCAGATGAGATTGTAAGGGTGGAGCCCTTCTTCGATAGGATTGGTGGCATTAGAAGAAGAGCAAGAGAGAGAGAAGGCAGCTGTCTATAAGCTGGGAGGAGAGGCCTCACCAGAACCAACCATGCTAGAACCCTGATCTCAGACTTCTTGTCTCCAGAAGTATAAGAGAATAAATCTCTGTCGTTTAAGTCACCTAGCCTATGTTATTTTGCTATGGCATCCCAAGCAGACTAAGACAGACTTGGGTACCTAGACGTGGGGTGCAGCTGTAACAAATACCCGAAAGACCTCCACATACAAGTGTGGAGGCAGCTTTGGAACTGGGGAATAGGTAGAGGATTGAGGAGTTCTGAGGTGCTTGCTGGAAATACAGACGTTAAAGGTGAATTTGGCAAAGGCTCAAAGACAAGAGAGAGCTGGAGAGAAAGCTTTCATCTTCTTAGAGAACATATACATAACCACGAATACAATGTTGTTAGAAAGATGGACACTGAAGGCCATTCTGGCAAAGTCTTGGACGGAAAGGAGAAACAGGTGATTAGAAACTGCAAGAAAGGTGATCTTTGTCATAAAGTGACAGAACTCAGGTTGAACTGTTTGTGTTTTGGTGTTTTGTGGAAGGTCGAACTTGTGAGCAATAATATTGGATATTCAGTTGAGATTTCTAAGCAAAGTGTTTAAAGAGGGACTTGGCTCCTCCTGACTGCTTGTAGTATCGCATGAGGAGAGAGAGGGGTTGAAGAAGGAACTGTTAAGCAAAGGGAACTAGTACTTGTAGATTCGGAAAATTCTCAGCCTGTCCACATTGCAAGACATGAGAAAGCAAGTGCTGGAGAAGACCAAGGATGTGATCGAACCATCACTCGGTGAGGAGTTCAGAGGGTTATAACAGCAGAAACTGCCAGTTCGAACTGAAGGGGACGGAGACAGGACCAAATGAAGGGAGGCTGTCAGACTCCTTGGGCTTGACAGGACAGGGTGTAGAGCCATTTGGCTGCAAATATGCACTATTCTTCAAGTAAAGAAGATGACCCCAGGGCCACAGCCTCAGTTCCAACAGCCCAGACCCAGACCAGCCTTCACCTCAAAGCCTCGCAAGGCCTCTCTGCAAAGCCCAGTGGCCCAATCTAACCACAGAGGGTTGTTCTCAAGCCTTAAGATCTGATGGAATTCATCTGACTTGGTTTAGGACTTGCTCGGGACCCGCTGTCACACTTTCCTTTCTCCCCATTTCTCTCCTTTGGAATGGGAATGCCTGTCCTATGCCTGCCCTGTTGTTGGTTTTGCATGTAACTTGTCTGGTTTCACAGGTCCGAGCAGGAGAGGAATTTTTCCTCAGGTTGTATCATATTTTGAGACTCACAATACCTGATTTAGATGATGTTTAAGAGATTTTGGACTTTAGATTTTAGAGTTGATGCTGGAATGAATTAAAACTTTTGGGACTGTTGGGATGGAATGAATGTATTTTGCATGTGAGAAGGACATGAATTTTGGAGGCCAGGGGTAGAATTGTGAACCCTCTGCCAAATTCATATGTTGAAGCCCTAACCCCTAATGGGATGTTTTTGGAGACAGGGCTTTTAGAAGGTAAAGTTTTACATGGAGTCATAAGGGTAGACTCTGTATCTGACAGGATTGGTGGTCTTAAGAGAAAGAGCATTCTCTCTCCCTGTGTGCACAAGCGCATATGCACACACTGAGGAAAAGCCACATGAAGACTTAGTGAGAATGCAGCCACCTGCGAGCCAGGAAGAGCGCTCTCACCAGAACAGAATCAGCTGGCATTCGGATCGTGGACTTCAGCCTCCAGAGCCGGGAGTAATAAACTTCAGGTGTTTAAGCCTCCCAGTCTGCAGTATTTTGTTAGGGCAGCTCCAACTGACTAACACAGGGGAAAAGATGGGACCTGAATGACGAGGGGCTATAATTATGGGTAATGTAGAAGCTGAAAAAAGGTAAATAGACTTTAATCATGTGGACTAACCCAGGACAAATTTGGAATTTAAAACTCTGTGATTAGTTTGGCCAATTTTTGATGATTTGATTGGTACGCTTTTTTTAAATTGAGATTTAATTCACATACCATAAAATTCACTCTTTAAACTTTACAGTTTCGTGGGTTTTAGTAATAATTTGTATCACTATATTACTTTTTTTTCTTTCTTTTTACAATCTGGATTACTTTCGAGGCAGTTCTCAACAGAAGGAATTTCCCTTCACAGCTAAGAAGGCTCCTTAAAGTGAGGGGACTGTACTACTAAAACCCTCCTGGCACGGAAGCAGCCCCCTCGCCCCGGCCCCCTGCCCCCTGCCCCCTGCCGCTCCGCCGGGGACTCGCAGCCGCTGGGCAGCCGCGCTTCTTACCCAGCGTGGCGAGGAGCAGGCCCACTATGCGCGGGTGGGCGGCGATGGCCGGGCCCACGCGCGGGTGGATGGCCAGGTTGGCGAGCACCCGGGTCAGCTTGATGAGCACGTCCTCCGCCTGGGCCGGCGGCCTCCGCGCCGGGGGCCGATCGTCTCCTTCCTCCACGCGCTTCCTGGAATGCAGATCCAGCTCGTAGAACGTGTGGAATAATGACAGCAGAGTTGGGAAGCTCCCTTTCTCTCTGCAAAATTGCTCACGTGCCTGGTTATTTTTCGCTGTCAGGTTGCCAAGAATAAAAACAATACGAACCACTAAATCCTGCAATAAATTAAAGACAAAGAGTTACAAGTGCAAAGGTGCTGGGAGAGTTGTTGTGAAGAGGACAGTATTTAATTAACTCACAATGTAATTAATTGTAAAATGAAGCACTTCTGGCTTCTACTAACTTGTACAGTATTTGATTCCCAAGATTGGTACAGTGTGACAGAAGAGATTAAAAGCATCTGGCAATAATGAAAGAATACAAACTAATTGATGCTGTTAGCAAGGTCTATTAACTTCAGATCCTTCAACTGAAATTCTGGCTGGCTTTTTTTTGTTTTTTTAAAGAGAACAATTAGTTGAGCAGGGTGACATTACTAACCATACGTCGTATAAATCTAGGTCTTGACACTAACAGGTTTCTTGAGCGTCCAAATTTTTTCCTTAAAGTTCACCTTCTGCTGAAGCATTGTTTCTAGAATCAGGATGTTTTTCATCCAAGATGGCTAATCAGCTTGTGTTACAGCAGGCTTTCTCTGCATGGGCACTACTGACTGGGGGCTATCTATGTTCAGTGGCATTCCTGACTGCTCCTACTAGGTGCCAGTACCAAAAATGCCAGTACCACTCCTCCAGATGCCACAACCAAAAACGTTCAATGTCACCTGGGGACAAAATCGCCCCGGGCTGAGAATCACTGATACATACATACACCCCTATAAAGCAGTACTTGTCTTTCTCAACCTTTTATTACTATTTGCTAAATGGTGCATATGTGTTTCATTCACTTTTCTGTTTATAAGCCGTATTTCACTATGAATAAACAAAAAATCCCAAGGTGAGAACACTTTATAGCTGAACAAGAAACATAAACAATTATGTTCTTAATTTGCTAACAACTGGCCAACATAAGAGTTTGGTTGTTAAAGGAACACATACTGAGGGGCTACAACTGGCCAGGGTGTTAATACTCATGGTGCAGGTGCTGCGCTGTTTTATAAACAGGCTCAGAGAAGCTGCCCTGGTTACAGCCAGTGAGGGGTGGAGTCAGGATTTGAACCCAAGATTACCCAGACCTGGAGTCCTTCCTGTATCCTTGCCTCCCACATGGTCTATCACTTAATGATCTCCTCCCTTGCCTCGCCTTCTTTCAGAGCAGTAAAGGAATTATCCCCTTTTAAATGCAAATATATCACTAGAAGAGATTCCAATAAACCAGCCTTATCAGATCTGTACTTATCAGCTGCCTTAAGGAACCAGGACAAAGGGCAAAGGGCTGGGCCGGTTTCCTAGGGGAGCCAGGTCCAGGTGGGACCTGGAGGGTGGGGACAGCACCGCTGTGTGTGGCCCAGAGAGAGCTGGAGGATCTGGGACAAAGGACAAGACGCTTGGATTTGCCTGGGTCGGCTCTGCCAATGCCAACTTGTTCCTGCTTGTTCTTGAAAACGTTTTCCCTGGCCCTGGTGCAGAAGCAGCCAGGCTGCTGCTTGTGCAGCTGGGAATCATTTGCCAACATTAAGAAAGGACGGAGCCTAACATGACAACAAAAGCTGGCGCTGGCCCAGGAGAGAGTTGATACCAGGAAAAGCCCCAGCTCAACAGGCAACCAATCACAGCTGGCCCAGTGGTCCAGCCAGGGACCCCACTCCTCCCCCAACCCCAACTGGAATGCCAGTCTTTGGAGAATTTCTGCATCCTGGGGTCCCAGGGAATACATGCACACAAACATGTCTGAGGCCAGATGCTCTCAAGAGCTCAGAATCTATTTAAGAAGACAAGGTGAAGGCATGGGGGGAAGAACAAAGATTGAGAGGGCTAAGGAAGAAACTAGACACCCAAGGGGATCAGAGAGCCAGGCAGCCTGGTGTCATACTTGTGACTTCCCTTAGCCACTCTGTACCTCGATTAACTCATCTGTAAAATGGGGGAAGTACTGTGTGAGATTAAAGGAGACATAACAGATAAAGCACAAATTGTAGTGAGTGATGATTCAGACATTGTTCTGAACCCTTTTCTAGCACTATCGATAAAATGTTAGTAGCATTCAACTATGTGGGAAAGTCCCAGTGGTCTTAGAGGAGTTTAGATAAGAGGACACTCAGTGAACATGGGGCTGGGGTGGGGGGGTGTTGTCAGCAAAGTTATGACAATGAATTTGAGTTCAACCTTGAAAAACTAATAAAAGTGGGTATGGAGAGGGAGGACAGGTGGTTTGGCAGGGGGTAAAGAAGTATGTCTTGAGAGAGAGTCCCTGGGACAGTCCCCTTTGGGGCCTGGGGTCACTGTGTTTGTGTCTGATCACCAGAGGGTTCCCTAGAGAGGCTGAAGCCTGGAGGCCCTAAATCTAAACCAAGCACACACGGTTTCCTTATAAAACTCCCATCTGATTTCACATGAAACCAGTGGTTGTGTCATGGAATTCCTGATGATGCAGGCTCCTCCCTGGGCTCTGGAAGGAAAGCATGCGTTCACCCTGGCCACACCCAACAGCAAAGCAGACCATTATCCAACCAGGACAGAGGTTGTTTCTGAGAATTACACTCCTTGAAGGGAAAAAACTCCATTGTATCTTCTAAATTGAGGAAGATGAGCTTTTCACATAAACTCTGATAAATGATTTCTGATTAAAGATACACTACACTAGTCCTAGCTCTGAAAATTATAATAATCACTATTACTACAAGTAGTAGTAGCAGCAACTCATATATCATGCTAATGATACACCAGGCATTGTTCCATGCACCTCAATATACAAAGTAACAGATTCTCTGCAAGTGATAATCTGCAGTTCTTTAATCTGAAGAAAGCATTCCCAGTCTCCACAATCCAGAGAGTCACCTCCTCACACCTTGGATAGCAGTTACGTTTTTGGACCTCACGGTGTTCCCTGGATTGTGCTCTTCTCCCATTTCCACAAAAACACACTAAGCAAGACAGGGAAGACATTATTAGTGCTTTTAAATGACTTCTTACAGAATATAGTAAGTAGTTA